AGAGAAACCTTTCTGGATTCCTCTGAGCAGGAAAAATCTCCATTTTATATGCTCACATGACCCTGTTCACCTCTCTTTGACACAACTTCCATCTTACAGTACTTGTATAATTAGTTTATTGCATGCTTCCTGCTTGCAAGCTCCATAAAGACACAGATTTCATGGTTTCCTTAGACTTTGGTGTAATGCCTAACACATGGAAGACAATACATGTTTATCAAATTAATGAATGGATATAGCTGCAGTTCCATCATATTTGGCAAATGATGACCATTGAGGATCTATCTGACTGAGAACAGATTGATTGAGAGTAGGGTGGTAGGGGTGAAAACCAGACTGCCATGAGTTTAGAAGTCTTTGGGAGAGAAAGAAGTGTTGGAGCATCTTAGGTGAAAAGGAAAGTGGAAAGAAAGGGCATTAGCTACAAGGGACCATATGGAAGAGATGGGAGGATGCTGTTGATGTTGTTGTAACAGGGGAGACAGGGTGTATGTGCTGATGGAGGGAACATGAGAAGGGAAGGGGGAGGATGCAGGAGAGAAGGGAGAACGGGACAGCTTCCCCAGGGAATGGGAGGAATGGGATTCTAAGTCCAGGAGAAGAGATTAAGCAAAAACAGGAGAGTGAATACTTCTTCCGCTGAAACTGAAAGGAAATAAGGAAGTGCATTTTGGATATGGAAGTTGATAGAATTCATGCCTAAGGACTTCAAATTTCTGAGTGAAATAGGCAGTACGACCACCTAGTAAGACAGAGGGACAGAAGGTGGGGAGGGGGACTCAAAATAATAAAATATTATTGGATTGTCTCTGTGGAAAAGGAGAGACAGAGCTGACCAAGGGCATGGAAAAGGATTGCTTAGCAGTGCTGAGATTGGAAACTGTGAATTTTTATTGGCACATCTCTGCGTGGTTTTGTGATTCTCCCCAGCTGCGTTTAGCCGCCTGCATGTCTGAGACAGAGAGGAGAAAAGCTGGGTTGTGGAGAAGGCAGAGGAAACAAGGAGGTTGAGTATGTTGGCAAGAGGGTGTTGAAGTGACGCACCCTGGGGTCCAGGCTAGAAGCCATGAGTAAGTGGTCTAGGGAGATGGGAGGAGGAGAGAGAGAGAATGAAGTGTGATGGGCGGGTCCAAGGCCATGAGAGGGCTGGGAGCGAGGGAGTTCTTTCACAGAATAACTTTGGTTGTTGGCAAGGTCCTCTAGGAAGATGTGGAATCTTGGAATACAGGAAAAAACAACAGGAGCTGACAAGATCAGAGCAGGTGTCACCTGGGTGACAGGTGAGGGTCAAAGTCCTAGGCAGATGTGGAGAAGGCGGATAACAGCAATGAGGGATGCAGGGTGGTACTTGCCCTCAGGGTACACTGGGTGGAGAAGCAGTGGCCTGAAAGCAGCAGTGGGAACTAAGGGAGATATTGACCCCACCTCCTGGCCGGAGGAACCTGGAGTTGGAGAAGACTACAGGGAAGTGATGTCACCAGGGAATATAAGTGATGTTTCCAGGAAAGTGGAGAGAGGAAGTAAAGGGAACATCTAGGGAGCAAGGATGCAGAGGAGTTTCTTGCCAAGCTCCTCGGTCCCAGAGGGCATGGTAGGAACATGGTCAAGAGCCCCCTCTGTCCCCTCCCTTCCCAGCATCTGTCCTAGGACCCTCTGCATCCCTCCCCCATCTCCCTGACTTGACATCGCTCCTCCGGCACCATCTACTCCACAGTCCACGTCCTACCCATCTGTTCTCCATCCCATCCTCACACCCCTCCCTCCTCTTACCACACCTCCTCCCCAGTTCTCTCCTCCCCAGACCGTGCTCCTGCCCTGCCCCACCCCAGCCGGCCTGAGTGAGCAGGAACCCCTGCACCTTCATTTCTCAGGTCACTGCTTGGCTAATGGGCTATTAATTTGCTCAATCGTCCCCTGTGAGGCAAACTCAATTTCTGCCAGCCAGTCGTCCCTCCCTGTCGACAGTGTGATTGATTGGAGGAACAGCTGTCACCGCCCGGCTGCCCGCTCCCTGCCTCCTTCCGCGCAAGTCCGCGCCACCCCTCCTCCCCGGGCCGCCGCCCCGCGCCCACAGAGGCAGCGCACCCCTGCCACCTGCCCAAGGATCTGTCGCCAGCAATGAAAAATGACAGAAATATTTAAGGACAAATAAGGTTTCCCAACGCAATTGAAAATGATTACAGGCAGCTACAGATGGGGCCAATCTGATGCGCAGCAGCAAATCAAATCGAATTTCCTTATCGGCGTATTATTTTAGGCGTTATCTGGCACGTTGATGCAGTTATCAATTCAATTTCAGCCGCCGGTCCGCTGTTTACTGTCTCGCCTTTGCTGGGAAAAGGTAAACATGCTCAGCCCAGCAAATTAATTTCTGGCCGAAGACAGAGGCTGCAAAGGACTGCTCCGCAGGCCCGGCGGCTCCCACAATGGCCCTGGGCTGCAGTGGGCCAGGCTGACTGGGCTGGGGGCAGGCCAGAGCTTGCCCAGGGAGCAGAAGCCCCCTGCTGCTTGCCCCCGCCCGGCCCCAACCCCAAGCAGGATTCAGGGCTCCTAGGAGGCTGAGGTGACCGCTGTTGGCTCTGCGGCTGCTGCCAGGGAGAGGTGAAGGTCTCCCATTAATTTCCAGCTAAAAATGACAAATTCATCTTGGACGACAATTAAATGAAGTCAGTAATTGATGCTAATTGATCTCCAGATGCGAGGGCTCCCCTCAGCCTTAGCAGCACGTGGCTGTCTTGCTCACTCTGCCCACTGCAGCCCTTCTCCTCTACTTCTCTTCCTCTCTTGGTCCTTGCACACCTCCACCCTGCCCCCACCAGGGCTCTGGGTCTCTGCACCCCGCAGCTCTGTAGGAGACAGCTGGCTGGGGCTGGGCTAGCAGGCAGTGCCCGAGGCCAAGCAGCTGGCCTGCTGCCCGTCCCACCCTGCAGGCACTTGTAATCAGTGCCCCAACTTCCCCCCGTGAGCTGAGAAAGCAGGTAACACTGGCCTCCTTGGCGGTTCAGGATTTACTGCCCACAGCTGCGGAGGTTCCCACTTCATTTTTATAAGCCCATAGTCAGAGCCAGCAGGGGGTAAAGCACACTTGGATTTACTTTGCTTTACACAGTCCAGTCCTAACATTTTGGCTCCATGGCAAGGAAGATGCTGGAGGGGAGTAAAGTGTGTGGACATGCCAGGGAGTGTCCAGGTGGACTCAGGCTATACTTGCACATATGCCTGTGCTCACATGCATTTATCTCTATGGCAACAAATACCCACACTTGTCTGAGCACCTGGGTGTGCCAGCGCTCACGCGCGCATGTGTGTGTCCAGACATTTGAAAGGATATTTGTGCATGTCCATATGTGGATGTTTTCCTGAACTGGGCCCTTTTCTGCAGTTTATAATAAAGCCTAATCCCAGGGAACTCTGGGAGGCCCACCTGCCCCACCCACCACAGGCCTGGCCCAGCACAGGGCACTGTCTGGAAGTGATTAGCTAAGGAAGGAGGGGAAGTTAGCTAAGAGGAGAGGCTGCAGTTGTGTCTGGGGCAGCCAAGTTCAGTGGTATGAAATAGCTGTGACCCCTGAAGCCCCGACAGCCTCTAAACAGGCTGGCTGGTGCACCTGGCTGGAGCAAAGCCTCATGAGGTCAAGGGTTTAGGGTCCATGCCCAAGACTTAGTGAGCTTGACAGTGCCTTGGCCCAGAGTCCTTGGCTCCAGCTACAGCCCAAGTGTGAGCCTCAACTACCCGCAGACTGACCTCCACCTGGATATCTTGCAGATGTTGGCTACTGGCCCCCCAAGAGCCATGCCTCGTCCATTGCTATAGACAGTAAATGGTATCCCTCACAGTAGGGGGCAGGGCACCAGCGAGGCTCCAGTTTCACAAGAACCTGTGGAGCTGGCAGGAGGCCATATGGAGTGGGCAGCACCAATGTAGGTTTCTGCCGGCAGAGTAGAGGGAAGGGAGGATCGCAAACGCATGTGGGCGTGAACATGTCAACCCTGTGGATCCTGAGTTTATATGTCACCTGTATGCAACCCGGTGCTGTGAGGGAGTCTTCCCTATGGCAGGAAGAGGAGCAAGTGAAGATCATGTACAGTAGATAAATGATCAGACCAGGGGCAAGGTAGAAGCAAGGAACCAGATAAAACCTCCACAACATCTCCCAGCTGACATCCACGTCTTCTGGGGGTTTAGCCAGGTCAACAATCATTTATTCATTCATTCAAGGAATATGTATTTGTTTCTACTTACACTAATATCCTCTTACTTTGGGTTATGCCCTCTGCAAGATACTGAAAGTTGAAAGTGTCACTCAGTTGTGTCCGACTCTTTGCAACCCCATGGACTGTAGTCCTCCAGGTTCCACTGTCCATGGGATTCTCCAGGCAAGAATACTGCAGTGGGTTGCCATGCCCTTCTCCAGGGGATCTTCTGGGACTAAAGCAATAAACAAGTCACTCCCTGCCCACAAGAAATTTTCAGTGTAAAGAAAGTGACAGACACAATGATAAGCAACTGTAACACGGTGTGACCAGAGGTAGCACAGGAAACTATGGGAACACAGAGGAGGCACCTGGTGCAGTCTGGAGGAGTCAGGAAAGAAAGAATTCAGAGTCTTAAAGGATGAGCAAGAGTTAGCCAGTCCGTGCAAACAGTCCCTGCCATACCCTTTTTGGTTGCATGGCAAGCCCAAAGCAGAGACAAATAGGCCTCTTTGCTTCCAAGTGATTCTGGAACTGCTAAAAATATCACCAGACCACCAGCCACTTGCCCTGGGGTCTGGGCAGAAGGGTGCAGAGCGGTTTTCAGGGCATCCCTGGGCACTGGCAGATAAGGATGGGCCATAGCTAAATACACGTCTCTCCTCTGCCCGCCCCACCCCCACCCCCTCGACCAGGGATGCCTATTAATCCTGACAAATGATGACTTACGAACATGTAATGCAAACTGATTCATCATACATTCAAATCCGCCGCCCCGCCCCAGCGGGAGGCCCCAGCCAGACAAGTGTATTACACGGATAATGTATTTGACGTATTAATAAAACCAGCCGCATTGCTCTGGCGCGGGGACTGGGGAATGCCAATATACGATGACAGATCACATATTGATGAAATCCAGATGTTTGGAATCATAGTCTTGGGGCCTTGTTCATATTGACTGAAGGTAAAAAATGCCGTCTGTCAGCAGGTTAACTCTTCCTGTCCCACACTCAGGAGAGGCACCAATCACGGTTTTCTGGAGAGAAGAGAAGGAGGAAGCAGATGAGTGAGAGGGGAGAGTGGTGGCTTGTCTGGATGAGGTGGGATAGATGGTTGTACTGTGGACTCGATGGGTGGAAGGGACACTTTGCATGCCTTGTGTTCTTAACCTCTCAGCAGCATGCAACCCTATGGACAATGCTCCCCGCTCCTTGAAACCCTTCCCTTCTTGCTTTTGATGACATCACCGTGTTTGCATCCTCCTCTTGGCTGTTCTTAGTCTTCAGTGACTAAAACTTCCTCCACCTGTTGGAGTTCCTCAGCGTTCTGTTCCAGCCTCTTCTTCCTGTGCCCTCTCACCCTAGGTGATCTCACCTACTCTTAAAACTTTTGTGGAGTATATACCATGTGCAAGACATTGTTCAAGGCACAGAGGATGCAGTGCTGGTGAATTTCAGTCCTTATCTACATGTCAGCATTTCCAGTACTATCCTTCTAGCTCTGGCTCACATATAGTGCCTACTGAGCATTTTCATGGGGTATGTTTTAACTGTTCCTCAAACTAAGTTCATCCAAAACAGAGCTCATCATTTTCTTCCTTATCAAGCCTGCTGCCCTTCCTTGTGTTCCACAAGTCAGTAAATGGTCTGCCACCTAGCACCTGTTCAAGTCAGACAGCTTGGAGCCATCCTTGACTCCTCTGTGTCCTTGAACCCCCATGTCCAGTCCACCTGCTTCTGTTCATCTCATTGTCATCCACAGCATCTTGCTAGAGCAGGTCACCATCGTGTCTCACCTCAGTTAGTGAGATAACCCCCTAGATGACCTTCCTGCCCTTGCTCTTATCCCCTTAGACCTTTCTCTGATTTGCAGTTAGAATGACCTTTTTAAGATGAAAGTCTGAGATGTCACTCCCCTACTTAAAACTCTTCAATGACTTCTCACTGTATGTTAAAAAATAATAATAAGCCAAAATCCTTAATACAGTGGAAAGTCCTCTGGGATCTGGCCTCTCTATCATCAGCTCTCAATACTCTTCCCCTCGCTCTCTGCTCCAGCCACATTGAACCCTTCTCATTTCTTCACTTAGGCTTTATCCCTCTACCTTCAAACATGCTGTATTCTATGTACTATAGAACACTACTCCTCCACTATCATTGCTTGAACTGGTTCCCACTCATCCTTCAAGGCTTTGCTTTAAAATCACTTCTTCTACCTCCCAGGCAAGATAGTCTACTCCCATAGTTCCATGTACTTCCCTTGTTCTAAGACCATGCTGGGGATATTTGTTGAATGTCTATCCACAATTAGTGCCTAACCTCCCTGAGGGCAGAGAGTGTATGTTCATTATTGCATGGCATCCATACTGTAGCAGCCCCATCTTGGTACTCAGCTGACATTTGTCAATGTTTACTGAATCATTACCTAGGTGATAGGCTAGGTAGGTATGTAGCCAGGTATTGTGCAGTGGTTAAGAGCACTGGCTTTGGAATCAGACAGATCTAGATTTAAATCTCTGCTCTGAACCTTCCAGCTCTGTCATTTCATTGTTCTAAGCTCCATTTTCCTCATCAATATGATACAAATATATTATACCTACCTCACAGGATTGTTGTAAAGATTAAATGAAATAAAATAGATGCAGCATTAACCTGTAGCCTAACATACAGTAACCCTCCATAAACAGTTATTATTATTAGTGGGCAGATAATGGATAAAGGATGAGTGGTCATATTGACAAACAAACAAGTAAATAGAATGTGGGTATGGATGGATATGAAGAAAAGTAGCTCCAGAGAAGCTGAAAGGCCCAAGGTGCCTACTGAGGTATACAATCTTGATCACAGCAGGGAAGAAGGCTGAGTATAGAGCAAGGCCAATCTGGTGTCAGGATGCGGTAGATATAGACACAAACAGCAAAACTGTGCCAGGGTCTTACTAGAGATAATGGTGACTCATCTCTTGCATACACAGCCCTGATTTAACTAGAACCTCACAAAGGTGCTGAGTAAATTTTATCATCCTTGTTTCAAGAAGAATCTCAAACTCAGAAGTGTTAAGTGATTGGCCCAAGGTCTCACAGCTAGTAAGAGGCAACTCTACTCAAAGACTCTTGGTCATTGGGAAGTGGAATCTCTTCTACTGGGACTGCAAGAGGGGAAGGGCAGGTCACACATGTGTGTATATACAAACACATGTGTATACACACGTACTCTTTTTATTATTTATTTATTTGGCTGTGTCACGTCTTAGTTGTGGCACACACCGATCCTTCGTGGCAGCGTGTGGGTTCTGTAGTTGTGGCTGGCAGGCTTCATTGCCCCAAGGTATGTGAGATCCCCCACAAGGGATCGAACCCACGTCCCCTGCATTGGAAGGCAGGTTCCTAACCACGGGACTATCAGGGAAGCCCCACATAGGTACTTCAGAAAGTTCCATCCTCTCTTGCCACGTATCATTAGAGTTAGCCTCCCCCTCATTTTAACCCTCCCCATTCTTAAATCAGACACCAGGCAGTCAAACTCTGCCTTTTGTGGTCTGTGGAGAAAAGATGATGAGGTTGGGGTTTGCTCCTTAAACAAGCAGAGAGGAAAGAATGGAGCCCACAGCCAACAGAACTGGGACAAAACCAAATGGACCAAGCTGGAGAGGCAATCGCAGGGTGGGGAGTTGCAGGGTGGGACGTGAGTTAGTGATTGAGGAAGGGTGGGCTTTCTCTTTGAGTGAGACCCTCATCCTCCAGGGCCCAGTTCTGCACCAGGCCTCACCGTGGATGATGGGAAAGATGGCAGAGAAGAAGCAGCCCAGCCCCTGAGCTGCCTGCTCCCAGTGGCCAGCAGCTCCCAACAGAGGGGGGCAGCAGAGGGCTGATCTGGGACCCCAGGTACCTGAGGCCTTGATCAAGGCCTGAGGCCTGGACTGGTGCCTGCCTGGTCCAGGTCAGGGAAAAGCTACTTGTCTGGCGGGCTGCTCCTCAGCAGGCCTGTCCCCACTCACAACCACAGGCGGTCACTTTCTGGTGGAGCCTGGCTGTTTGCTGGTGGGGAGGTACCCCAGAAAGGGGAAGGGACCCTCTGGAGGCCCCACCCCTAGGGAGCCTCCAGGCAGAGCCCGTCTTAGCCCTGACTCTGCTCCGGGCGCCTGCGATGCCCTGTGTTAGGCTGTGGGTGGGGCCAGGCCCCTCTGCGGCCCTTCCTCCTCCTGCTGAGGGGATACCTGTGGCAGGCGGAGAAGCGGAGGTGGCAGGCACAGCGGCGGCGGCGGGGTGGCGGGAGGGAGGTGCGGTAATGAATGTGGACGGGAGGCGGAATGAGCGATCCATCTTTGCATGGGAGGGGAGGGGGCCGCGCGCCTCCCCCTCGACACACTCACACACTCAATCAGGCGCTGTCAGACCTCCGGCCGCCTGGCATTTTGGTGAAGAATCTCTCAGCTAAAAATTGTTGTCAGTCCCATTTCCTCGTTATCAGTGCGAGGGCTGAGGCAGCGCCCGGGGATTAGCAGAAGCGGCGAGCGCCCGCACCGCCATCCACTGCCGATAACACCCGGCCTCCCGCCTCACCTCCCCCATTCATCATCTTTAGCACTGACAGCCCGTCCCAGTCCCTGTCCCCAGCCCCTCATGCTGCCCACGTCTCCCCACGATGCTGCTCAGCCTGGCTCTTGACCTCCCTAGGGAGCTAGGCTTCCTGAAGACCGAAGGGGATTCAACCTAGGCGCCTCTGACCTGCATCCACCTGTGGCGGAGAGCTTTGGTGGGTTCAGGGGTAGGGGGCCACGGGCTGGAGTGAAGAATGCTCAAGGAGAAGATGCTTTCTGACAGCCTGCCCCTGCTGGGCTGGTCTGCCTACCTGCGATGCTGGCAGCGCTGTTGGAGAAGGGATTCCTGCATCATAAGGGCAGCTGGACTAAGGATTTCTGGAGGCCTCTCCAGTCTGAGAGGGACTTCCCAGATTCTGGGAATTGTGGAAGGAGAGTCCGAGGATGCCTCGGAAGAGTAAGGGGTTGAAGAGTGCCTTCCCACCCCCAAAGGACCACAGCCCCCTCCTCTGGGCCATCCCCAGCGGTTTTATGGCCCGTTTTATGGCCACTGTAATGGCCCAGGTCAAAAGCTTCAGGGAGCTGTATTCTGGGAATTATGCAAACGAGGAGCAGGCCCAGGGCCAGAGTATGGATTTTGTCATTAAACCTGGGCAGGCCATGTCGTTAGTGCAGTAAAACCCACGTCATGACCACAGGTCTCAATATAAAATTATAGGGAACACAGTGGGGGAGGGGAAGCAGGGGGCCCATGGCCATGCTGACACCTGCTATGCTGACACCCCCTGAGAACATGGGGATGGGATGCAGGCCATAGGCTGAGGGGTCCCCGGGCTGATCCCTGTGACTGCTTTTGGGAGCCAGGAAGAGGACCCATTGTCCCAACAGGGAAACTGAGGCCAAGCTCGGAAAAGTAGAAGATCCCTGTGGCAGGAAAGCAGATGAACTGAGCACAGGTATATGGGAATGCTGATGCCTGCTCCCAGGTGGAGAGGGAGGAACTGGGGCTCTGGCAGTCCTAAGAACCATATATGGTCCCCAGGCAGAGGGGGCTGAAACCCTGATATTTCCACCTCAACTCTGACCTCATGCCCTAGATCCTAACCTTTCTCTATTCTTGTCTCTCACCATTTCCCCCTTCTGTCCCAGCCCCTACCTCAATGCTCGATTTCAGCAGCCTTGTCAGTTGTCCCTTAGTCATCCTCCATTCCCGCCAGCAAGCATTACCACTCTCCTCTGGCCCCTTCCTGCTCCCCCCATCACCACCACAAGCACCCATTCCTGCCTCCCTCAGCCCTGACTAAGGCTGCACTGACTGCAGTCACTGACTTTCTTTTCCAGTTTTCTCGCTGGTTTGTGATCTTCTTAAGGCCAAGACTGTGTTTTCTTTATCTCTGAGCCCATTTCTCCTAGAATAATACCTGTTTGATAAATATTTGATGAATGAATAAATAAATGAAGCAGTGAGATCATGAGTCAAGTACAGGGATCCCTGCC